GCAAATTCTCATATTCGGTCGAACCGTCATCATGAAAGAAAGGTGGACCCTCATTTTCTGTCAATCTCTCGCCATAAAAAAAGAGGCGGGCCTTCATATTCGGTCGACCTCTCGTCATAAAAAAGAGACGGACCTTCATATTCGGTCGATTTCTTGTCATCCAGGAGAATCTTGAGATCTCAACTGGAAAGAAGCCTCCCATCGCCTATCGCCGGCGAAGTAGTCCTCGTCCCGTGCCGCCATATTACCAAAAGGACGTATCTCGAATATGGTGACGTTAAAGTCACTGTCACCGACAAACGATTGAGGCGATCGAGAGCGGGGCGCCCCGCATGTGCCCCAACTGCGTCTACCGTTCATTCCCCGACAACAGCCACTTCCTGCGTCTGGCGCGCGGTTTGTTTGCTTGCCATGAAAAGCAGTACGTAGACCCAAATTGGATGTCCTCGATCCCCCAGCAATTTGACAACCCACCACATCGAATTTGCGACGGAAGCCACAGTCAGATCAACGAATTTTCGACCCAAAGCGACGATGGCAACATCACGCCTTTTGTTTGCAACATCGATCCTTTTCAAAAACATCGTGAATCGTCCTATATATTATATAGAAAATTCTATACTTTTATTGTTATCTCTTTATTGAAATCTTAAATCTCTCCCTATATATTAATTCAATACGTGTTGAGCCTAGGTAGCAGATTCTCACGCTTCGAATGCCGACATGGCGAAATCTATGCTTCGTGATGTTGTTTTTATATTATTTCTACTCTGGAATTAGGTTTGATATTAAATATAAATAACTTTACACATATATTCATTAACTCAACACCCATGTTGTACATTGGTATTAGTACTAGTATCAGTTAAAAGTAAATAATGTAATAATTCAATTATAAGTTAGATACTTATTATAAATAAAATTTTATTTTAACTATTATTTTTATATACAAAGTGTATAATATTTGTTGTGTAATATGTGCATGTGCAGTGGATTATTAGTTTTATTGGATAGAGTCAACAAATCAAACAAATCATTGAGGGGGAAGAGAGAGTTTGGTAACATCAAATGATACATCTTATGAAAGAATAGTGAAACAATATTGCAGGTTAAATTATAAGCATCACTTTGAAAACTGTAAACTCTACAGGCCTCTTCTCATCTCCAACATTCACTGCTGTTTTGCTCTAAATTGGCTCTCAAATTGATCAATTGAAAAACAAAATAATAATAATAACAAAAAATAAAAAAATTACTATACATAATATCATGAATTAGTTATAGGTTTTATATTTACTCCATCCCTCTGTTCATCAGCTAGCTTCAAAGATCTTTTCTTTTTCATTTGTTTCAATTTTTTTTTTCACACTTAGCTGTTATTGATTGAATCAGTAGATACCGATTTCGACGCATCTAAATGGTTA